GAAAACATATGTTACCTCTCAATTTGTGTGTGAAATGTTTTGCTTTTTTAAATATATGAAGCTATTCTTGTTTGTTGTTTTTGTGCAATGGATATATGTATACGACAGGCGCCGCCTTACCACACTTCCTGCATACAAAACTGCAGGTTCCATTAACATTCTTTGCGACCGCGTTTTGTATTATCTTGACCAACATCTTCTCGTTCCATGATGTGGTAAAAAATAAATAAATCTCACCGTATATCCTACTCCAACATAATATACTAAATATGTTTACAAAATGCTCCTGTCAAAATAACTCATAAGTTTCACATATATTAATAATATTAACAGTTTGTTTATGCTCATCGCACTAAATCATGTTGACTTTATTCTTTTGCAGTTTTTCTCTATACTCTCTCTCTCACTGTCTCTGTCTGTCGGGAATATAAATTATATCCTTGAGGCATTTTGTAAATTATTATTAACCAAATATTTAATATGAAAAAAAAGAGACTAAAATGCGAAAAATAAAAAAAATCCTTCTTTTCATAAATACATTTGTTTTGATTCATTTTAAAAAGAAATTATTTTTTTTTAACTAAATATTAATTTATTATCATTGTCTATAACAAATTTAACTAAATTATTATTATTATTATTATTGATAAATTCACTCACCAAACGAGAATTTTTTCATTAAACTCATCTGGACCAGTTAGACGGATTTTTTTCTTCAGCAAACCTTTTCTTTTACATCATCAGTTGCATTTTCTTCCATCATATCGCAATTAATTCCATTTTTTTAGAACTGAAAACTAAATATTTGTTAATGTTATGAAAAATAGGGCAAAAATTTTGGCAAATTTTTTTTTTTTTTTTTCGTCTATTTTGACTGCGGAAAATACCCTGATATTTTCGAATTCTGTTCTTTTTTAATCAAATTATGTAAATTATATTTAAAAAATTGCGATAAATGAAAATTCGATCAAATAAAAATTATGTTAAACATTGTAGGTATAAAAAACAATTCAAATTCTTAAAAAATTCAATTACTTATTTTCAAAAGTTTTAATGAAATTCTTTTTAAAAATTCAATTATTTCCAAAGTTTTCATTTAAATTTTACGAAATTTTAAGTGCTCAAAATTTTTTTAATTTAATTACATAGACACATTCTGGGTTTAAATTAATCACTGGTCAGCCTAACTATAAGTTACACTTCAATTTCGTTAAAACATGTTTATACATACTTAGTATTTCGAATACATATGTATGAAATGGTTTATCCCGTTTACTGAAATAAATAAACAAATAAATTATTCGAAAATTCAATTATTTTCAAAAATATAATTTAAATTATTATTAAAAAAAAACTTAATTATTTCATACTTTTGAATAAATTCTTCGATAATTGAATTATTTTTGAAATTTTTAGTTTAAAATCTTTTCAAAATAGAAAAAATCAAAATTTTTAATTGCAACTCTTTCAATATTGAATTATTTCTATAAAAAATTCATATACATAATTATGTACGAGAAATCAATTATTATTTACAAATATCGAAATTCAATTTAAAAAAAAAATTTGTACTCATTAAGTTTTTGATACTTATAAATATTTTCAAAATCTTTAAATTAAAAATCGCATTTAAAATTTAATTAATTAAAAAAATTCTAATAAAAATTCTTCAAAATTATTAATAAAATATTTCAAATTAAAAATTTTTCTAAAACTCAATTATATTGTTAAAAATTTGTATAAAAAAAATCTTCAGCAATTCAAATTTCAAATCTTTTGAAGTTCAATTATTAATTCTAAAAATCTTAATAGCGTATTATTCGAAAATTTAAGTATTTATAAATTTTTTTCTACAACTCTTCGCCAAAATCAATAATTTTTAAAAATTTTAATAGTTTTTAAAAAATTGTAATTATTTAGAAAAATTTTAAATTCAAAATTTTATAAAATTTATCTATTGTCTGAAATTTGTATAAAAAAAAAATTCAGGAGTATGAAATTACAAAAATCTCCATTTAAAATCGCCTGAAATTCAATTATTTCTAAAAATTATTATTATTATATAATAATAAAATGCTTGGTCTGTCCTTCTGTCCTAACTTGAAGTTGGCCTTTTCTGATTTCACGTGTTTTTTTGAATAGTAATCTTATGACGTGTCAAATTTTGACAATTATTTTTCTCATTTTTGCCAAAGTTGTATAATTGTGTTTTCAAATTTCGGAACAAGTTTCTTTAAAATTCCAAATTCGAAAATTCAATTCACGAAGCTGAAGTACACAACGTTTACCAACGAAATTTTTTTTAAACTTGTATATTGATTCAAAAATTGTATACAAATACAAAAAATTTATGATGAGCAAAAAAGATGCGCCAGGAAATTTCGTACAAGATAGTAATTTGAAAAAAATTTATTTTTAAAAATTAATTTTTAAGGTATCAGGGGCCAACGAATACCTATTAAATATTAATTATAAAAATACAGGACTCGAATCAACTTAAAGACACAAAAAAGTCGTTTTAGTCGATTTATATTCCAAAAAAAGTGAATGTTTTTTATTTTAACAAAAATATTTTACAGATTTTTAAATAAAAATTTTTTTTTAATAATAATCCTTTTCGAAGGGTTAAAGTTGAAATTTTCAGAAATAATTAAATTTCAAAAGATATTGTTAATTTTCAAACAATTATTAAATTTTACAGAACTAAAAATAATTTATCAAACAATTTTTGGAAAACATTTTTTAAATTTAATTGAATTTTCAAAGATTTAAAATTGAGATTTTTGAAATTAATTGAAACTTTAAGTGTTTTGTAATTAAAATTTTAGATGATTTCACTAAAAATTTATTAGAAAATGCGGACAAAATACAATAATTTGAAAATCATTTTTAATTGAAAAATGGTTTCAGATAGTTGAAATTTCAAAGAATATTATTAAAATATTTAAAAATAATTGAATTTTCTTAGAGTTATAATTGAAATTATTAAATTTCAAAAAAAAAAATTTCGATGGAGAATTTTAGAAATAATTAAATTTTAGATGCTTTTAAATTCAAATTATTGAAAATTCAATTAATTTTGAATTCAAATTTTTGAGAATAATGAAATTTTATTTGATTTTAAATTTGGAAAATAATTGAATTTCAGTTCATTTTGAATTGAAAATTTTGGGAAATAATTGAATTTTAATTGAAATTTTGGATAATAATTTAATTTAAGTTCATTTTTGATTGAAAATTTGGATAATTAATTTTGAATAGAAATTTTAGAAAATAATTGAATTTTATTTCATTTTAAATTTAAAACTTGGTAAATAATTAAATTTTAAATTGAAAATTTTGGATAATTATTGGATTTTTAATTGATTTTGAATTAAAATTTCGGGTAATAATTGAATTTTAGTTTATTTTGAATTGAAATTTTTAAAAAATAATTCAATTTTATTGTGATATTTTTTTTTTAATTTTAAACAATTGTTAAATTTCATAAAAATTTTAATTGAAAAATAATTTTAATGTAATTGAATTTGTGATGTATTTCATTAAAATTATTAAAAATAATTAATTTAATGAAGAATCATTTTAGTTCAAAATTTGTTAAATAATTGAATTGAAGAAGATCTGAAGATCTACATTTTATACTAAAAAATGTATTTTATTTACATTTTTTTTCTAATGTAAAAAAAAATGTCGCATTTTATTAAAATATGTCGATAAAAGTCGTATTTTTGAAAAAAGTCGGAAAAAGTCGTATAATCCGAGGCCTGTAAACATATGATTTTCATTATTATCATTTAATATGTAATAATATTCTAATAAATTAAATTATTATTGATAATATTAATCTATAATTTCTTTATAACAAACAATTAAATACTCAATTTGGCGCGCTTGCGCGCGTTTAATTTTGCTAGTTATTACTAATGAATATAGTAACAGTTAATATTCTAAAAGGAAATAAACTTAATTTTAATAGTATATGGGATTTCTCAAATTTGGTCATTTGGAGGACAAATAAACAAAGACAATATTTTGATTACAGAAATTATTTGAAAAAAATATGTAAAGGAAAAAAAATGCTATAAAACAATTACAAAAAAAGTGTAAATCCTATCTATAATATTAATAAATAGTTAAAAACGCATACATAATTAAATTGTTCTTAGAGCGTGCATTGCACGAGATAAAAAAAATATATATTTTTTTTTAATTACTAAAGGACAATTAATAATGTAGTAAGTAGTACGAATAATAATAAAACTTGTCAATCCTTATGAAATTATGTCTCCATTTATAACAAATGATGCAAACGATCAACAAATGTAAAAAACGAAAAATATACTTACCTCACAGGAAATTTTTCGCACGCTGGAGAAATCCATCTCTTCAAGCCATAGCACTGGCGTATATAAACATTTTTTCAAATTATTACCCTCAACGAGATGTACTCACTATAAGTACAAAATTGGCGAAAATTTCCGAAAAAAACAACTACAATTTATTGACAAAAGTTGCGTAAAACAATAAACTATCGCCATTTTTCCTGAAAAATTGTAACGAATTGCCGGCAAATACGTTGGAGAGTACAGTAATAATGGAAAATTATAACTTGTCCATCTTTTATCTGTGTTCTTACAGGCTTTAGGAATACACAATAAATTTCAATAAATTTAATTGGTGGACAAGTTCTTCTCGATTTTCTATTGGCCGAAATTTGGAGCGATATTCAAATTCAACCAATATAATCAGAGGCGTCCTAAATTTTGACCTTGAAAGAAGATAATAGATAATTCAAAACAAATAACTTTCTATTGTTATTGTACTGTAAATACAAAATTTCGAACAGTTACAATAAAGATGTTTTTTATATAATTATGATTTATCTCATTAATCTCAATAAAATCGTGACAAAATTTTTATAAACATTTATTCAACTATTAATACTAATTTTAAGTAAAATAAAAAACCCAAATAACTTTATAAATATTCTTTAATTTTTCTATGAAATGCATAATTTTCAAATGTTTCACAAAATTAAAGTGAAACTTTCCATGAAATATTTCATGTGTAACACGTGACGGCGGTAATCTATACCTAACCTTACTTACTCGATCTTAATTTTTGTTTATAACGTTTATAAGTTTTAACCGGTTTATTTATTTTAAATGAGTCTTTGTACAGTGTGTTGTAATGCATAATATTTTTAAAATGTAGAAAATTAATATATAATCGTTAGTTTTAATTTTTGTGAATGAATTTTATTAGAATAAACATTGTGATATAAAAACAATGGAAGAGGCAAGTGTCACTGATCAAAATATGTCAACAATGTCAGCACCAACAGATTCTGATGAAAATGAAAAATAGTAAGGAATTTTTTTATTATACACTAATTCGTTAAAAAAAGTATAATTCAAATTTTTATAATTATTCTATAATTATTATTATTATGGCTATTATAAAATGACATTAAGAGAACAATTTTTTTTACTACAGCATTAAAAATGCTGAAGGGATGTGGGACGTTATTTACGAACCAATAATAGAAGTTTTCTTTGAAAATAAAATGATAATAACAGATGAAGATATTCAAAAGCTTTTGCAAACTTTTTTACGATCTGATTTAAATAATATATTGATTCCTGCTTCCGGAAATGGTATATTGTTTGAAGAGCATCTAAAGCGTCATTCAGGTAAGAAGTTCTTTTAGAAAATTATTAATTTAATTAATTTTGATTTTTAAAAAATTGTTTTTTTATTTTTTTTTTAATAAAACAAATTTTTATTGAAAAAAACGAAAAAAAAAATGTTATTTAGATTTCTTTTATTATTTTAGCACTTTTAACATGGTTATTTGGAGTATTGTTTGCTTTAATTGGCAATTCAGGAGATGAAATTGTACTTCAACACAGTATTGATTTACAAGCAAAAATGTTAACATTACTTATTACAAATGATATAAAAATATATACGTCTATTATGGCTGAATATATAGAAATTCTTGAAGGTAAAAATTGGTTTTTTCTTTTTTTAAAATTCTGAATGAATTTTCTTTTTCTCTTTCGAAATTGTTTAGTTAAATGTTTACATTTTTTTCCTCCCCCTCGAGATAGAATTAGTTAGATTTCAAAAGCTCTATGAAGGTAAAAAAAAACTTACATTACACAAATTTAAAAGTGATATAAATTTAATTGGCAAAATGGAATTGAAATATTTACCTGTGACAATAAGATGTTTGGACTCAACTCAAGAATACATTTTACGGGTATAAAAATTATTTCTAATAATATAATTTATTTATAATTAATAAAATTTTTAATTTAAAAATTAAAAAAAAATTCTTTTCTTTTATAGATTATGCTTAAAACAAGAATTCATAAATGGAATTGTATATTTCCACTTTGGGATAATATTATCGATGTTCTATCGTATTCGTCACAAAAAACAAAAATTATTTCCTTTACTGTAATATTTCAATTGCTTGAATTTGAATTTGTAAATGATATAGTAAGTTTTTTGAATTTCGTTTTTAAATTAGTGAAATTGTATTTATAAAAATTATTATATTTTACAAATTTTTTTTTTCGCAGGAACTGGAAAGAATGTTTAAATATGCGACAGAAATGATTAATTTAATTCCAAAATGGCATGCAGAGGGAATTATTTTAAAGGATCTCTTACAAGAATGTCCAAGAGTTTTTTCGAAATTGCTTACAATTTCCGGTTTATTAAAACCAAATGCTCAAACAGCAAGTTTATGTTTAGCGCTAGTCAATTTAATGGTTGAGAAAATTATCGGTAACTAGAAAAAGTAGTTTTTAATTTCAAAATTTAGAAATTTTCAATAACTTTCTGTATTTCTTTATTACAGGAAATGAATTAAAACAAGAAATTTATAATTTAATTTACGAATATCAAAAGTGTAATTACATATTTCATCTATTAACTGATTATCAATGTATTGTTTATTCGGAAATTTTACCTGTAAGTACATTTTAAAAAAAAATTTTTTTTTTTAACTTTTTATTTAAATTAATTATTTAATAATAATTTCCTTCTTTTCAAAGGATTTCAATTCAATTCTTCTGAATGATGTATTGACGGATGTAAAAAATTATTCAACAAATAATGAAATTGTTAATGTAACAAAAATTAGTAAATTATGGGCAAATTTACGTTTAACATTTATGGAAAATCTTGAAAAGAAAAATTTTTCCTATATTATTGGCTTTTTTGAATCAACAAATTTATTGTATCATTGGTTCATTGAAGAGAATATAAAAGCACAATTATTCGATGATGATATAAATGTTATTTATAAATTTTTATTGAACAATTTAAATGAAATGAATCCAATAATTAATTCAATGGTATTTCAATGTTTTATTTGTCTTATAAATCATTATGAATTGTCTAAAGAGAAAATATTCAGTTTTTTATCGCTGCCATGGAAAAAAAAAGATTTTGATTCAATGGATGGTGATAATGATTATCAAAATATTGGTAATTCAATTAATTTTGAAACAAAACTCATGTGTCTTGAAACAATTTGTCGATATGGATCGGGAAAAATTGGTTTAACATTATTAAAAGAATGTATATCAAAGTCTGATGTTCAATTTTCAATTGCTGCCATTCCGTAAGTGGATATTAAAACATTTTTTTTACAAATTATATATTTTTATTTGTTATAAATTTAATTTATTATTTTTCCCATCTGAAGAAATTGTCTACTATTAGCAAAAGATAAGAATATCCGAATAGAAGATATTTTGAAATTAATGTTCTCCACACTTTCCTGCAATTCTTCAGAACTACATGAAATTGTTGCTAAAACTTTAGGTGAATTAATTTGCCTTCTATCGAAACATGCAACGCTAATAAGGTAATTTATTTTAATTTCTATTCATTATTTTATATAGAAAATTTTTATAAATTGTATATAAATGTGTCTTAATTATTTAAATATCAAAAAAAAAAAAAAATATATTTTTCAGAGAATCGTGGAATAAATCGAATTTAATTGTAAAATGTGATGTTTGTGATAAACCAGAAAAAGGAAATGATTCGAGAATTTATAATTTATCATCAAAATGTGAAACAATAATAACATCATTTTTTAAAACATTAATGCCATCAATTTGTGAGAAAATACGTCTTCAAATGTCAAATAATTTTCTTCGTTTTTCAAATCATATTAAAGAATTTAATACAATTAAAACGGCAAATCTTTGGTTACCTTATATAAATGACAAAAATCCACAAGTACGACGTAATATTGGCAAAGTAATTGGTTATTTATTGCAAAATAATATTGCACAATTGCAACAAACACATATTTTATCGGATGATGATGTACCAATTGAATTAGATAAATTTGTCGATTCAGTTATAAATATTTTACATATCTCAATAATAGAAGCCACCGATAAAAGGGATACATTGATGCTTAACGATTTAATTATTACAGCAACAAAATTTGCATGGTAAGAATAATAATAATAATAATAATATAAATTTAAGTATTTGAATCTTTAACGTCCAAGTGATAATAATAATGAAAAATTTTAATTATTCTTTAAAATTTAATTTTTTTTTGGCAAAATTTAAACAGAAAAGAAATTAATTTTTCAAATAAAAATTCTATAATTGAATATAATGAGAATTAATTTTAAAAAAATGAATTTTTAAATTATTTTTTTATTTTCCATTTTATTAATTGTATTTTATTGATTGGATTTTTTTTTACAGTGTTGAACTTTATTTAACGGAAAAGCGAATTCTCAGTCTATTTGTTTACATAATATTACATCCGAATTCAATTACAAAAGAAATTGTTTTAGCAAGTCAGGCATTTGAACAAGTAGCTGAATTCTATCATCTTCTTCCAATGCAAATGTATGTTCGCTATCGAAAACATTTTCTAAATGTAAGTTTTTTTATTTTATTATAAACAGTAATTTAATTCTTCTATTTAAAAATCATTATTATTATTATTACTATTTGAATTAAAAAAAATAAGGAGATTTTTTTTTACTAATTCAGTAAAAAAAATTTTATTTATAATTTCAGATAATAGTACAGATGTCAGTGAAAAATTTGTTGAATTACAATTTCCATCTTGTTAAATCTCTCTATAGAATTTCTCATGTTATTGGATATGATGGACCGTTACAATTATTGAATAAAGAACAACATTTAATTATTTCATATTTAATTCCTTATATTGTGAAAAAACCAAAAGTAATTTCATTGTTGGAAAATATTGTTGAAAGAGTTGATCGTGAAAAAGAAGTATTGTTAAAAAAATATTTTCCTGTAAGTATATATATATTTTTTTTTATTTTCAATATTGTTTTTGTGATTTAGAAGAAAAAGAAAAGAAATTCTTTTTCTATTTCAAATACATTTTTTGTTTGCAATTTCTTACAGTACATTTGCGTTCATTTGTTACTCGACGTCGAACAAGAACTCGGTGTGAAATGTTTGAATTTCGTTTTGAAAACAACTAATTTGAGTCTACGAACATTAATGAACGATATTAATTTTATGGTAAATATATAAGTTTTAACAAACAAATTTTTTTTATAAATTTACTAAAAGAATTCGTTTAAATTTTTATTGTCTTCATTTTGTTAAAAAAATCAGGCAATATTCGATCAATTACTTTTGCGATTTAATGAAAAAGAGGATGTAATCGAATGTCTTAAAATGATTTTACAATGGAAGGGTGAATCAGTGAAATTTGAAAAAAAGGAAGAAATTGTAAGTGAAATATTTTATTCTAATTTGCAGTGTAATAATATTAATTTTGTTTTCTTTTTATGTTTAAAAAAAAAAAAACAATTTTTAGACGGAATATTTGAAGCCATTTTTACATGGAGTTTTAGTAACGGCAGAAATAAATCTAAGACAAATAGTCGATGAGGAAAGTCAACAATGTGCAATTGCTTCATTAGTGACTTTAATTCATTTTATGGGACCACAATACATAACGCCATTGCGATATAAATATTTGTCGACACTTCGAATGCTCCTTCAATTTACAAGGCCTGGTTTTAGAAAAGTAACATTTCAAGCATGGGACGCATTTATTCGCAAGTAAGATGTTTATTATCATTTTTTTTTATGATAATATTAAATATAAATCAATAAATAAAAAAATTTTTCGATTAAACTGAAAAATGATAAATTCAAAACAAAAAATTTATATTTCTATATAATTTTCAGCACTTTGATTGATGATTTAGGTACTTTATTGCCGGCAATTTTTTCATCGATAGTACCTTTATTAGAAACATTTCCTAAGGAAACAAATGAAATGCTCGAGTATTTAATTATTAAAAATGAAGGAGCTTTATCGCCATATATACCGGAATTATTTTTTATCGAAGACATCAATGTTTCTGCAAGTATTTCAAATGTTGTGACAACTTGCATCAAACGAAGGAGGTAAAAGATTTTAAAAATAATAATAATAATAAATATTTATATTATTTAGATAATAAATAATATTCTTCAGGAATAATTATAAAATATTTTATTTAAAAAATTCACATTAGTTATTATTTAAAGTAAAAAATATCCGAGTGCTGCAAACAAATAATATACAAATTAAAAAAAAATTTTCCGTTTTATTTTGAATATATTACAAGATGAATTTATTTGTTCAATTATCATAGATCGGAGTGTATTAAAGAAGATCTTGGATTATGGATAAATAGAATAGGCCATGAAATTGATAGTGTACGTTTACGAGCTTTGATACATTTGAAACCATTTTTGGCAGAAAATCGTAGTCAACTCAATGGATTAATTCTCACCAATGCAAACGTTCATCCTTTGATTCTTGAGGTAAATTAAAAATTTTCATTTTTGACAAAAATACATTCGAATTCCAAAGCATTATAAAATAATAAAAACAAATAATTAAAAAATGGAATTTAGAAATTTTTCATGCATAATTTTGTTGTTATCAAATAAAAAATAAAAAATTTATTAATTTCTTTTTCTCAGCTGAATTTATTGAGTTTTTTATTTTTTTTATTTTAGCTACTAGATATGCTTATAGCCGGATGTCGTGATAAAGACGAGGAAATTCAATTAGCTTATGGTGAATGTTTAGGTGAACTTGGAGCAATTGATCCTAGTTTATTACCTAAAAGAATTGTATCAAGAGGTAAAAATGTTAATTTAAATAAAATAGAAAAAAAAGGAAAAATTAATTTAATTTAATATTTAATTTATATAATTTATAATTTTTTAAAAATTACAATTATGATACTTTTTTCAAAATTTGATTCAAAATGAAGCATTAAAAAAAAAAAAAAAAAATGTATGCAATAATTGTTTAAAGTACTTGAAAAAAAATATTTTAAAATTAATAAAAAAAATATGTGATTTTTTTTTATATAGAGGACAGTAAATTTATTTCGGATGTAAATGAAGAATTTGCGTGCGCTGCACTTATTGAATTTGCAAGAGGTTTTCAAATGCAAACAAATTCACATGACGCTGATTGTTTTTGTCTTGCAATTCAAGAAATATTAAAAGTCTACGATATTTCACCAAATAATTCAAAAAATTCATTTTGGGAAAGTATGCCATATACAGTTCGAGAAATGATTTCTCCATTTTTCACTTCTCATTATACAATGGGAGTTTTTGAAAGTAAAATTAATTATCCTCTTCCAATTTACGGGTAAACATTTTAAAAAAATTTTAAACTAATTAATTTATAATTTTATAATCTTTCAAACAATTAATTTTATAATTAAAAAAGTGACATTTTAATAAAAAAAAAAAAAAAATTTAATTAAAAATTATTTTGAAATTTTGATGAAAATTGAAAATTCAATTAAAAGATTTTAAAATTAAAATAAATAATAATGATAATGATAATGATAAAGATATTAAAATAATGTTTAAATATGTTACAGAACCGATATGAGCACCACTTTTGAAAAATGGGCGTTCAATTGGGTGATGAGCATGTTTAAACAACTTCCCGATTCGAAGCTTAAAAGTATTTTAAAAACCTCATCACCAGCTTTAAAACGAGATGTGAAAATTGTGGAATTTTTTATTCCTTTCATTGCAAGTGAGCTTTTTTTTTTTTTAAAAAAAAAAATATATTTTGTTTGATAAATTATTAAATTTATTTAACATGATGATTTTTCTAATTTTATTTAGCCTTTATTATTGGAAATGGTAAAGAAAAAGAGTGGAAGAAAATTGCTGATGAAATGTTAGCTGTTATAACTGAAAAAGAAAAATCAACGGATACACTTTTGAATACTCGACCTTTATATAATGGAACTAGGGAATCAAAAAATACGAGAGTTTCCGATAAAGCCAAACATGTTAGATGCTCGCAGGTATGTTATTTATTTATTTACTTACCAGCAATGTTAAACGTTTTACATCACTATTATTTTGTAAAAAAAAAAAAAAAATTCATAATTAATAATTAATAATAATATACGGTTCTCCAGAAAGAAATTCAATTAAAAATAACTTTGCACCTTAAAATTCTTTTTCATTATGATATTAAATTTTTTTTTTTTGAAATTCATACTACTACATTTTTTTATACTTTCAGACAATTACTTAAATTTTTTAAGTTTAGTATTTAAATTTTTTCTTAATTTATTTTACAATTACTACATATTATTCTACATGTTTAGAATATATTTTAGATTTTTGATAAATAAAATTAAAAAAATAAAATAAAATAAATCAATAAAAAATGGTCGAATGTCTCTTTTGTTAAATTTAATTCAACTTTTTTTTAAAAATATTTTTACAGGTAGTTTTTTCAATACTTGAACATTTGCAAAGGTGGTTAAGAGAAAAGCGATTAAATCAAGATGAACAGTACAAATCAGTACAAGGTATGTTTTTGAAATTTTAATTTAATATAATTTAAATTATATATATATTTATTTCTTTCTTTTTAGAGTTTTACAATTAATATAATACAAAGATAAATAAGTAATATCAGTAAAATCACATAAATTTGAAATTATTTTCAGAATTTTGTAAAATATTTGATGGTTTTGTCCTTGCTGAAGGTTCATACAAAACATACGAATTTCATCAAGCTTTATTGTATTTAGAACAACATATGGCTATTACTAAAAAAGGTCTTTCAAATTTAAAGGAACGTGATTTACTTGTTGTAAGTTTATTTTCGTCAACAAAAAAATTTACTTTTTTCATTCAATTTTGAAATTTCACTATAATATTTACCTTTATTATTTCAATTTTAATATTCTTTATAAAATACAACGTATTAAAAATAAAATTAAAATTTTTAAATAAAAAAAAAATTTTCATATGAATTAAATTATTAACTGAAAATTTTAAAAACTATTTCCAAATTAATTGAGTAAATATTTTTTAACGGTACAAATTCATATGAGAAAATTTCAATAAAAATTAATATTATAACAAGAAATAAAATTAAAACTAAAGGAGCGAAAAAATATTTCGCTAAATTTAAATTAATGTTTTTATTTTCAGAAAATTTATCTACAACTCGAGGAACCAGATGGTATATCTGGAATATTAGCATCTCAAAGTGAAATTTTTTCTGTTGAACAATTAGTATTGGCACACAAAATCAGTGGACAATTTCAGGTGAAATAAATTCATTTTTTAAATTCTTTTTTTAATTTTTAAATTATTAAATGAATGAAAAAAAGTAATATTTAAATTTTTTTTTTAAAGAAATCATTTTATTTTTGTTATTTTCATTCGAGAAGTTTCTAATATTGAATTAATATTTAATATAGGATGCTGCGATTTGTTATGAAAAAATGGCTCAAAGAAAAAATATGGAACCCAGATATTTGAAAGGAATGATCCAGTGTTATTTAAGTCTTGATCAACCTTTTACTGCCATGTGTATTACAAAAGGCATTCTCGAAGACAGGTAATTTCATTTATTTATTCTTAATTAATTAATTTATTTATTACAAAATTAGTTCCCGAATCCAAAGGGAATATAAATGGGTAACAAAATGTTGTTACAATTTAAAATTTTCGTTCTTTATTAAATTTATCTATAATAATTTATCTAATAATTTTGAATAAAATGAGAATATTGTTTAACTAATATTTCTAAAATTTTTGGTTAAAAATGAATTTTTTTTTTTTTTAAATAATTTTTTTACATTCAAAATTATTTTTTTAGACCTGAACTAGAACCAGTGATGTCGGATTATGAATGTTTTTGGCGACTCGCACAATTTGGCAATGTCGAAGGCAATGAAAATGTGAAAAATAATTATTTGGAAAATTTGAAAAACTCAGTGAAACCCGATTTAACGTCTGTTAAGAAAAAAATACTCTCATTACTTGCTGCTGCTTCTCATCCTGGTGCTTATGAACCTAGTTATTCGTATATAATGAAGTAAGTTATTTAAATAATTTGCAAATAATTTTTTATCATCAAATTATAAATCTAAATTGAAAATTTTCAATTTATTTTCTTTTTGAAAATATAGACTACATATAATAAACGAGTTTGAGAAAGCAATTGATAAAATATTGGTGAATGTAAATATAGTTCCAAGTATTTTTGAGGAATGGGAAAAAAGATTTCAATTGGTTAAGGCATCGAGTGAAGTTGAATTTGTTCTAAGTATGCGAAGGGCAACATTGGATTTGGCATTTTTATATCAACGAGAAACAATGAATGTTGAAAATTCAGTGTTGAAGGAGGAAATTGGAAAAATTTGGATTAAAAGTGCAAAAATTGCTAGAAAGTGAGTAAAAAAAAAAAAATTGAATTTTTTTTCTGCCTTCAAAATCTTTGAATTTTATTTAAAAAAAAACCTTGAATTATTAAAATTTTCTAAATAATAATAATAGAAAATGTTGTAATGATTCTTCAGAATTTCTTACATGGATTTTCAAAAAATAAATATTGTAAAATAGTTAAAATTAGTTTCTACTCCGAAAATGGATTAAAAAAAAAAAAAATGATTTTAAATCTTGAAAAGTCCTTGAATTTTTTTTTTTCAAGAATTCGAAAATTTCTAGGAAAAAATACACAAAATATTTTCTGAAAGTCAAAGGCAAAGTTAGGGAAAATTATATAATGAAAATTTTGTGTGAAAAAATAAATTTTTTTTGTTAAATAAAAATATTCAATTTCAGAGCTGGATTATATCAAAAAGCATACATGTACGTTCTGTCCGCCGGTGAAATATGTAAACCTCAGGAATTATGCACCGAAATGGCCCAACTCTATTGGCAAAAAGGAAATCAAGAATACGCATTTGATACATTAAAAAGTTGTTTCAGTAGATATTTTCCATCTGTCGAAGTTTTTAAACGAACACCTATAAAAAATAATTTGGATGAAAGAAAACAATGTGCTAAGGTGTGAAATCAATATTTGAATAAGTACAATTTTTTTTTTTGTTAATTAATTTTTTTGTTGACAAAAAAAAAAAAAAATTTTGATATGAAAAAAAAATCAATTGAAAAAAAGGTGTGAAAGAACCTTTAAAAAATAGTCTTTTAAAAATATATTAATTTATTTTAATTTTTTAATTTAAAAAAAAAATAATTCAATTAAAAAATGAAAATTAACTTTTTTTAAAGAAATTATTACGTAAATGTAGAATTTCTCAACTATATAACGTCTATTTTTCAGTGATATTGTAATATTAAAAATGGTAAAAAATTTTACATTTGATTTTCAGGCGAAACTTTTATTTGCAAAATATAATCATGAAACTCAAAATGTAGATACAAAGACAAATACAGGAAATTTTAAAGAGGCAATTGAAGTTTGGAGATGCTGGGAAAATAGTTACATTGCAATCGCTCAGTATTATGAATCACTTGTTGATAGAATGAAAGAGGATATGAAGGATGTCGATGGACGGTAAGAATTTATATAAAATTTTTTTAACTAAATTTAAAAAAAAAATGCTAAACTATAATAAAATTTTAATTTTCCTTTACGATTATTATTGATGTAATTCAAAATTTTTTATATTTTTTTAAAAAAAAAATTTAGATTTATGCGAGGAAACATTTTTTTTTTTTATTATTTATTTTATTATCAGTTATAAATTTGTACAATTTTTTTTTTATATATTTCTTTTTGACTATAGAACGTAATTTTTTTTTTTTGTTCATAGTGAAATGCAATTGAACTCTCTAATATTTTATGGAAAATCATTAAAATATGGTTGCAAACATATTCATCAATCAATGCCAAAAATTTTGACAATTTGGTTGGAATTTGCGTCAAGAACAAATAAACGAGATAAAAATAATACCGTTATGGAAATTCAAAAAGATTGTATGAGAAAAATGACAGAATATATTGGTATGTATTTGAATTTTTATTTATTATTTATAGTGTCATTATTTAAATATTTAAATTAATTTCAAGTATTAACTGTTTTTTTTTATATTTATTCCAAATGACCTTAATTTATGAATTTAATCAAAAAGAGAATAAATAAAATTATACTTTTTAATTTTGCAATAATACAAATGAAATTAGTAATTAGTAATTAATATTTGCATTTAATTTATTTTCCATTCTAGAATCGTATTTAAATTTATTGCCAACTTTTACATGGCTCACAGCATTTAGTCAAATTGTCTCAAGAATTTGTCATCCCGTTTCACAAGTTCAAAATACAATAAAAGAAATTATTGTGAAATTGATTCTTGCACATCCTCAGCATTGTCTTTGGATGATGGCTTCAGTTTTTCAGGTAATTTAAATGTTTTATTAAATTATTATTATTATTATTAATTAATTACTATTTATATATAATTTTTTTTTTTTGTATTATTATTGTCTTAATTTTCAGTCGGAAAATCAACAACGCCAAAAACAATGTAATGAAATATTGTCGCATGACAGAATTAAATTCTCTGAAGTAATGAAGTTGATTCAAGATTTTCGTAAACTATGGGCAAATATAATCGATCTTTCAGATAAACCAGTTACTTCGGTAATTCATTTTTTTTTTTAATTAATAATTGATTATTAATATTCTATATTTTTTGCGATAAAAATGTGTGTTCTTTTTTTTTTAATAAATGAATTGATCAGTAATTCTTTTAATTTATAATAAAATCACAATTAGTATTTGAAATTTTAATTTTTCTATTTGTGATAAATAAACATATATATTTTCAGAATTTATCTAAGACGACTGTTACTGCATTGTCAAGTAATTTGCCGTCACTTTTTAAATCCTCTGGTTTTAGTACAATAATGATGCCAACTTCGGAATTCAGAAAATTACATCTTCCATTAAAAGGAGAGTCGTTTAAGGAACATGAACCTTTTATAAAGTAAAGTTTCATTTTAATGAATAATTTAATTAATATATTGTAATAACTAAATTAATATTTTAATTATTCATGTAATAATGTTTATTAATTAGATTTGTTTAAGCATTTCTTTTCTAAATTTTCTATTTTGTAATTATAATTTCAAAAATTAATTTATAGAAACTGGGTGAGCATTGTTGGGATCAACGAGTCAATAAATATAATGCAATCACTTATGAAGCCAAAGCAAATTTCATTGAGAGGCTCAGATGGAAAACATTATCTTTTCATGTGTAAACCAAAAGATGATCTTAGAAAAGATTTTCGATTAATGGAATTTAATGATATTGTAAATAAATACCTTCAAAAAGATCCAATGTGCAGACAAAGAAGACTTTATATCAGGACATACGTGAGTTAATTATTTCTAAATTAAATATTATTCAATATATATATATTAATTTCAGAAATTTATTTATATCGTGTTTTAATTTATAATTTTATAAATTTTCTTTAGTTATCTATTTCTATAAATTTGTAGTTTTGTTTTATTTATTTGATATATTATTTTAATTTCTTTTATTTTTATATTTTCTGTACATATATTTTATTTGAATATTATTTTCAATAGAGTGTCGCACCATTAAATGAACAATGTGGATTAATAGAATGGGTTCCAAATTTAGTTGGTCTTCGTAAAATTCTTATGGATTTATATAAGGAAAAGGGAATTCAATGCACTTATCGAGAATTAAAAACTTTGCTATGTGGTTAGTAATAATTAATCTTTTAAAATATACACTTTTCATTTTTTTTTTTAATTTTGAATACAAAAAAGAATTTGATATTTTAAATTTGGAAACGTAGTTAAACATTAAATTCATTTATCGTTAAAATTTAAAAACATATCTCTATTAAAAAAAAACTGCATTTTTTTATCAGCTAATTATAATGTATTTATTAATTAATGGAATTGAAAAAATTGTTAAATACCAATTAATGAATTTTAAGATTCTAAGGCAAGTCTTGTGGAAAAAAGGAAATGTTTTATTGGAAAATTAATTCCACGTCATCCACCAGTTTTGAGTGAATGGTTTAGACTCACGTTTCCAGATCCTTATGGATGGTGAGTTTTACTTTATAATATTTTTCTTAGCATTTTTTTTTTCGCTCAATAATTATTAAATATAGAAATTTTTAAATTGGCACTAAATTTTTTTAAATAACTTCTTTGCGGAAAAGAAAAAATCTAAATTTTTGGAGTATTTTTATTTTTTTCTGTTAAAAAAAAAAAGGTTTTTTTTTACTATATCAAGCCTCGTATCGACTTTAATGTGCCAATAAAGTCGTTTTATTCAATTTAGATTCCAAAAAAGTCGTTGTAGTGAATTTATTTTTATTTTTATTTTAATTTGAAAAATATTATAAACATCATTAAAAATAATTGAATTTTAAAAGAGTTACACAGTTAAAATTTTACAAATAATTGAATTTCAAAAGATTTTATTAAATTTTTAGTTTTTAGACAATAATTTAATTTATCAAATAATTTCAGGTAACTTGTTTTTTTTAAAAAAATTGAAGATTTACAATTCAGATTTTTGAAAATAATTGAACTTTAAGTGATTTTTAATTGAAATTTTTTCGTGATTTTTGTTGCTGTAGAATTTATTAGAAATTACAGAAAGTTTAGAAAGTGTTAGATGAAAAATTTCAAAAGGTTTTAATTTGAAATATTGTTGAAAAGAATTGAATTTTAAAAATTTTTGATAATTTTATTTTGAATTTCATAAAATTTGTAATTGAAAAATATTTTAAGTTGATTGAATTTGTGAAAAACTTCAATAAAATTATTGATAATAATTAATTAGAATGAAAAGTTTTAGTTAAAAATTTGTTAAATAATTGAAATAAAGAAGATCTGCATTGTATACTAAAAAAGATGTATTAAATTAAAAAATTTTGTTAAAAAAATTGTAAAATAAGTCGAAGAAAGTCGAAAAAGTCGTATAATCTAATTAAAATAATTTTTCTGTATTTTTATTTTTAATTAAAAAAAATTTTTTCAAATAATAGGTATGAAGCTCGCACTGCTTATATAAGAACAACTGCAGTTATGTCGATGGTGGGCTACATTTTAGGGCTCGGAGATCGTCACGGAGAAAATATATCGTTCGATTCAAAATGTGGCGATTGTGTTCACGTCGACTTTAACTGTCTTTTCAATAAGGTAAATTGACTTTACTAATCATTTTCCAATTTTCTAAAATGAAAAAAAAGAACAAAATTATGCAACCACTAAATTTATAATTAAAATTTTCATTTCACTAAATTTATATTTCAATAAATTTTATTAATCCGAATTTCATTATGCAGAACCTTTTTTTTTTTTGCTAACAAATTTTAAACACGCGGATTAAAAAAAATCCACTAATTTCTATTATTTCTAAATAGGGAGAAACTATGGAAGTTCCAGAAAGAGTTCCATTTCGTTTAACGCACAATATGACGAACGCAATGGGTGCTTTAAAATACGAAGGACCATTTAGACGTTCATGTGAAGTAACAATGCGTGTTTTACGTGAACAAAGAACAACATTAAATAGTGTTTTAACACCTTTTGTTTATGATCCCCTTGTCAATGAATCTTCACGAAATCGTAAAGGTGTTGTATTACAATTCGATGATAAAAGAAGAAAATTAGAATTACAAATTAATGATATTCAACATCGTCTAAATGGACAAGTGCGGGCAATAGTTGATAAAAGAGAAAAAAATGATGATAACGAAAAACAAAACGATGTCTATCTCAGTGTTGAGGGACAAACAAATTTACTTATTCTTCAAGCTATCAATATAGACAATTTATGTCAAATGTATCATGGTTGGGGAGCGTATATGTAAATAGGAAAAAAAAAAAAAAATACAAAAATTATTTTTTTTTACGTTAAATTGTTCGTAATTTTATTTATAATAATATTAGGTAAATACCTAATTGGTTTTTCCTTTCTTTTTTTTTTATAATTTCTTATAAATAATATTTACTAAAAATAGATCGTCGTCAAAGTTCATGTATAGAAAAAACAAAATTTAAATCTCAAAATTAAGATCTAAAAAAAAAATTGGTAAAAATCGAAAAAAAATTATATATAATAATTTATTATTGACAATATATGAAGAATTATGGACATTTTCGTTCGATTTGACTTTTGCCACTCTCCTCGTATTCTTGACTTGAGAGCCACATTTGTTGGAATGTACCAATTGAAGCTAAAATTGAACCACCAATCCATGCACCAAATCGACGTTCAGCGCAACCATTTGCACTTATTAATTTCAATCTCATGCTGGACGGTATTCTCACTGAAAGATCACGATTTAAACGCTCGGGGAAGCCTTGAATAAATGAATTTCCACCAGTGACAACGACACTACCATAAAGTGCTGGTCGAACATCAACATCGCACATTCCAACGCTTGTCGTTACAATATGACCAACTCCCAACATTGTATTGCCAACCATTCCGCCTCTCATTTGTACCATACTTGGATCAAAAAGCGCTTCGGGTATTCGAAATCTTTCGCTACTGAAATCCTGTAAAATAAAAAGTTTCAAATCTATATCATTTTTCAAATATTAGTTTTCAGGGTTGCGATTTTGTTTTTTTTGCAAGAAAATTAATTAAAAATTAATTTTGATTTTATTTATTATTTTTTTTTCTTACTTTAAATTGAATTAATTATATTATTACCTGTCGATATCCAGTTGGAAATTCATATTGCACAGCAGGAACGGTACAAACGATTTTCTCATCGTATGGAGTCTCGGATACTTGAAGGCAAGTCGCTTGGAAATCCTGAATAAGTTTCTTCACCATATAATTGTGCCAGGATTTTGTAACTTCAGGTATATTTTTCTTCTTCACCCATCGCGGTTTATCATGATCTTTGACAACTTCTTTACTACCAATCATATATGCTGGCGATAAATCGATTTCTTGCTCCTATTAATTAATTAGAAACAATATAATATATATTAATTGTTAATCACCAAGAAATAAAATTCATTTAATAATAGTGAATTTTCCGTTACTAAAATCATTCGTATTTTGTTATAACAAATTTTTTTGCCACATTTATTTAAACAAAAAAAAAAAAAAATACTTTTGTTGCTGAAGATTAAAAATTATTTATATTAATTGTGAATTTTATTATCTTATGTAAGAATAGTTTGATAATAATTTTTTTTATTTTTTAAAATATAAAAGTAAAAAATAGAAAAATTATAAAAACTAAAGAAAAAAAAAGAGAGGAAAATTAAAAGATTAATGCGAATTTTGGAGGATAATAAAGAAACTAACTTGTAAAAATTGTCTGCATTGCATACTAATGTAATCGCCACCAAGTGGAGATTTAACTATTGCTTGTGTTAAAACAAATCCATCTTGAACTGGAACAGCGGAGGTGTGAGTTGCTCCACTATCAACAACAATTCCCGTTGCTCTTCCATTTGCAAATGCGGCTAAAACGGCATTTTTCACAAGGAAAAATGCTGGTACATTGTATTTTTCGAACATAAGTTCCGTCAATTTTTCTCGTTTACTCCGAACATTCCAAGGCGATTCGGAAAACAATACCGGATGATATTCCGCGTCTGATTGAATTACACGCGAATAAGTGTAATCGAGCACCTAAATATTTTTTTTTTTACAAATAAGTAACAATACATTTCAAATAAAGTTAAATACAGTGAAAAAATGTTTGTTTTTAAATAATAAAAAAAAAAAAAAAAAAAAAAAAATGAAATATAACAAATATAATTAAAAATAATAAACAGGCCTTGGATCAACTTTAAGCAGAGTGTCTAACAACTGCTAGGAAAAAAATTCCCTGACTTTTCCCAGATCTAAATTATACTAGAAAATTTTTATTTTGATCAAATAAAATTTATTTTGATACAATTAAATCATTTACCTGTCTATTATCCACTAATTTCATATGTATTTGAACAAAATAAATAATGTTTCGTAAAGAATAAAATATTTAAGTGAAATAAATAAACTAATTGGGGACGTATAAATATTATCAACACTTAATTTAAAAGAATTTTTACGGCGTAAAATCTTAAATTGTAAAATTTTTATTTAGTAAAATTATATAGAACAGATTTTCTAGTACATCGAATTTCAAATTAATACAATTTTAATTTAACGGAGTTTATGTCAAGAAAAATTGCATAAAGAAAAATTTTTTCAACAGAATTGTTATTTTAGTAAATTTCGATTTATCAAAATATTTACTTAACAGAATTATCATTGAATAAATCCACAATTAACAGAATTTCTATTTTAAAAAAATTCTTAATTAACAAAGTTTTCATTAAAGAAAATTTTAATTCCAACTAATTCTTATTTAATATAATTCTCATTTAAAAAAAAATTCTACTTAGTTCTTTTTTTGTTAATTTTTATATACATAAATTTTGTTACATTGAAATTATATTAATTAAAAATTTTTTAAAAGTATTAGAAAAAATGCTTTATAAGAGTTACCTATGCTAAATAGAAATTTTTTTAAATCGAATTTTAGTTAAATGTAAATTGAAAATTTTGCATAATATAAAATTCACTTTATACAATTTTGCTAAATAGAAATTCGATAATTTAAGATTTGACACCGTCAAATTTTTTATAAATTATATGTGGGTATTAGCATTAAATAATAAATTATTACAAAGCTGAAGTACGCAACGTTTATGATAAACGATTTTTAAAGAAATAATTTTTTAAAATGAAAAATTCTATAATTTCTTGTCTAAAAATTATAGAATTTTTCATTTTAAAAAATTATTTCTTTAAAAATCGCTTATCATAAACGTTATTTGCATTTGCTTTGGGAAAAAAGTAAAAAAAAAATTTTAAACTAATAGTTACTTTAATTTATTCATAAAAATTTCGAGAAAATTAAAGAAATTCCCTGACTTTTCCCTAACCGTTAGACACCCTGTGAATTTCAATTGATTTTTAATTTAAAATTTTTCATGATTTCACTAAAAAATTTATTAGAAATTGCAAACAAAAATAAAATAATTTGAAAACTTTTAAAATAAAAAATGCTTTCAGATAGTTGAATTTTCGAAGAATATTATATAAATCATTCAAAATAATTAAATTTCAGGAGAGTTATAATTGAAATTATTAAATTTCAAAAAAAATTTAGATGGAAAATTTTAGAAATAATTAAATTTTAGAAGCTTTTAAATTAAAATTTTTGAAAATAATTGAATTTCAAATGATTGTGTTAAATTTCAAACAATAATTATAATAAGAGAAATTTCTAGTAATTTCTGTTGATGAAGAATTTATTAGAAATCACATCCAAAAAAATTGAATTCCAAAAGTTTTTAATTGAAAAATGCTTTCAGATAATTGAATTTTGGAAGAATATTATAAAATTTATTCAAAATAATTGAAATTTTTGCAAATAATTAAATTTCAAGTAATTTTGAATTAAAATTTTTTGATAATTTTATTTGCTTTTTTTTAAATTATAAACAATTATTAAATTTCATAAAAATTTTAATTGAAAAATAGTTTAAGATAATTGAATTTGTGAAGAATTTCATTAAAATTATTAAAAATAATTAATGTAGTGAAGAATTTTAGTTAAAAATTTGTTAAATAATTGAAATGAAGAAGATTTGAAGAAGATCTGCATTGTATACTAAAAAAAAATGTATTTTGTTTAAAATTTTGTTTAAAAAAATGTAAAAAAAAGGCGCATTTTATTAAAATAAATTGAAAAAAGTCGGAAAAAAGTCGTATAATCCGAGGCCTGAATAAAATGAAAATAAATAAAATTAAATATTACCTTTTCAAAATGATCCCAATCTTCGATCATGCCGTCTTTCATGTAACTGACAACTTCCATATTTTTTCGAGGTACGTGAAGTGTCGTTGTGTCAATATAATATTTTGACGTCGTTTGACAAATATTGTTATCCGGCTTTTTGTCATCAATCTCCATTGATTCAACTGGAGCAGCGGTGCCATTGGCATCTTCTCCAATACCAACAACCGCTGGAATTTCGGCCTTTGGCGTATCCTCTTGAGCATAACCAACTCTCAAGGAATTGTGACCCAAATCCAAAACAACTGCTCCAATTTCATCACCTCCATAAAGCATCGACATCTTTATAAATTACTGAAAAATTCTAATTATTATTATACTAATTTTCCTAATTTCCTTATGATAATTATCATCGAAAAAAAAATAAAAACATCTTCAAAAACAATAATTAAACATTATTATTAAATAGATTAAACATTACATATTAAATTAATTTATTTTTTAAATTCTGAATTAAAAAAAAAATAATAAAACTCGCTTTTGTATTTTAAATCGAAAGAGGTTAGATTTGTTTTTGGTAAAAAAGCAAAATACAAAAATGTAAGAAATAGTTAAATCAATAATTGAAAAATAAATCAAGAAATTAATAGAAGAAAAAATTGAAAAATAAACAAAGAATCAGTAGAAAATTGATAAAACCGACAAAAATAAAAAAAACACTGAATAATAAACATATTCTCAATATTTACGCAATTACTAGATAAAAAAAAACATACAATAGTGTAATTAAAACTAAAATTTTGTATTTTTACTTACATATTCTTTTTCTCCAATTTCTTTATATAATTTACGAACAGTTTTTATTATTATTGATAAACGAAAAACATAACCTCGCTAACTCACACAGACGCCGATTCGGACATATTGAATTCTCCCCCACTCCAAGATTACACTTGCTCGACTACTCTTTTCCTATTGGTCAAAATAAAGCGCTATTATTTAAATTAATTTACTAAAAAAATATATATATTAATGCAAATTTTTTCTTCATTCTTGTTTAATAATTTTAATCTTATAAAATAATACAACATAGAAATATTAATAGTGAACAATACATTTTGCAATTATATATGTATATATACTGTATACTAAATAATTAAATTTCTATTAAAGTTAATGAGAAATTTTATTAATCTCAAATAAACAATTTATAAAAATAATTAGCAGTGTAAAAAAACTATGACAGAAAAAATTATTTTAAATAAGCGCGCATTATTTTGAACCAATGAAATGAGATCACTGAAGCGTGCGCAGTTTCATTTCAATATTGCGCATGCGTCATTATAATCATGGCTGACAACAATAGTAGCGAAAATTTTTTAAATTTACAAATTCTTTTCCTTCAAAATAATAAGAAAATATCGAATAAATATTAAAGTTTTCTACAAATAATTAATAATTTAAACCCTAATGTTAAATTATAAATTTTATTTAATATGCCAAATAATTTTTATTCAACTAAACTAATAATTAAACATTTTAAAGAATTTGTTGGCATGTCTGATTTTAGAAATCCAGTTTGTTTATTTGTGTATATATTCACATACACAAATATATTTTCAGTTAATATGCGTGTGAATTTAAGAACCACGCGTTAAAACCGGTGTGCCTATATATTTGTTTCCATTTAAAACTTTCATGTCTTTATGAAAAATCGTTGAATAAATTTATTTGAAATGATATTCAAAAAAAGTAACTTGTTTCATATACGATAAACGTGACGGCAGACACGGAAATTAAAAAGTCATCACACACACAGAAAATGAGAGTGGGGTTTGTTTGCCCCGTATAGCGTCGGGGCGCCTCGGTCTATTTCATTTTTCAAAATGGCGTCGAGTGTCAAATCGTTTAGAGACGGGAAACAATGCGGAGGCGAAAAATGCCTTCCAAGTTTTATCATTGATTCATTGAGGAATTGAAAAATGAATTACACATAAAAGTGAATGCAATCGTGTTTTGTGTAATGGATGAGAATCGAGTGTGTTAGCTGAAAACTTTCATTTAAAAAATAATAAGGTAGTCACGCGTGTTTTTGTGTGAATGAAGGGAAGAAATTTCGTGAGATTTTGCCCGTTCGGAGTCTGTGACACTTGCTGGTTCAATGGAGCGGATTTTTATTCTCGGGGTGGCTTTGTTGACAGTTGTTGATCAAGGTGAGTATTTTAATATTCCCCCCATCTTTTTTTTAAGGTTATAATGACAAAAGTTTATAATAAATAAATAGCCGATGATTTGTTTACAATTTTTGCCACGAGTGTCAAAAAAAAAAAAAAAAAATTAGAGTTTCTGTTCTTTAAATATGTGACATTTTTTACTTTTAGAAAAATTGATTTTAAATTTCCTATTTTGTTAATAATTCAATACGAAATTGTGAAAAAATAAATTTAATTTTATTTAACACAAATAGTATTATAATTACTATATCTCTCTCTGTGTGTGTGTGTGTGTGTGTGTATTCGCGGCTTTTAAAAAACGATTTCTTAACTTTGTTTGGCACTATAAAATTGCAAATTTTTTTTATTTCTACTTTCCTCGATTTGAACCTTCTTATCTATAATTGTACATCTCGACAACTCTTTAACAACAGCGTATAGAAAATATTTACAACTAAGCGATTGCTAGATAACCATGCACCACTTGCGTAAACTCATTGATTCTCTTATTAGAAAAAGCGTTATAAAATACATAATATATGCATGCTAAATGACCTAATGATTTATGAGATATTTCATATTAACATTTATGCATTTCTGAAATATTAACGCATAGTTTGATCTTTATCGTTATTTCAATATATATATATATGTATATCGACTGCCATTCTCAGTGTTTATAATTAATTTAATTGATTTATTAATTTAATCAAATATTTAAAAGTTATTAAAAATATTTATTAATATAAATATTTATTTTTAATTCTTTTAGAGAATATAATTTAATAAAATAGTAATAATTTATTTAATTAAATTAATAGTTTCTAAATTATTTTTTTTTTTGGGAAATAATGAAATATTTTTGTTTTAAAATTATAAATTATAGTAAATTATTATATCGTTTGTATATATTAATAAATTTTAAATTAAAAATAGTAACACATAATTTTAGAAAGTAACATTTTATCATATAGATATATAATTATAAATTGATATAATAATTGAGATTAAAATTTGCGTGAAATGAAAGGGAAAATTAATCATAGGTTTTGGAGAGGTATTTAAATTTTTGGAATTAAAAAAAAAAAAAAAATACATTTTTAATCAAAATATAAAATTGCGTGTGTTTTCTTAATATTCAGAATTTCGAAAATTTGAAACTGTGCTGAAAATCTGATAATTTGTGTTCCTTTAGTATTTACAAATTTTTTAGTTTTACATTTATTTAATTCAATTTTTTTTAATGTTTACAAAATAATTATTTACATTTTTTGCTTTTTAATTTTTTTTTAATTTTTTAAACATCCAGTAATGATTTTTAGGCTTATTTGTAAAATTGTTTTCAATTTCAATTAATATTTTATTTTATTGAAAGTCACTTTTTCAAAGTAAAAATTTTCTAAAATTTTTAATAATTTACATGTTTTATTTTTTATTAATTATTAAATCTATTTTATAATTAATAATATTGTACACCAGTCTTTTATAATTGTACAAAAATAATGATGATAATAATAATTATTTTCAATTTTTTTTAAACAAATAATGTCATAGGTCAAATTTTCAGACACGACACAAAATTTTTGCAATTATTCATACATAATTATTTTTTGACAAAATAATTTTTATAATAATTAATAATTAATAAATATAATTATAATAATATTAATTATTATTATATTATTATTATTATTAAATTATTATTAATATTAATAATAATTATTATATAATTAATAATATTTATTATTACACTGAAAAAAAAATTTATTTTATTCAAATAAAAATAAAATGATAATTTCCCTTATCATATAAATATTTATTTCAACCAAATAATTTTTATTATTATTATTATTATTATTAACTATTTCGTAAATGTTTTATAATCATGTTATTAATTACTCTAAAAATTTGTTTTATTAAAAAATCATTTACATATATGATATACATCTAAAAAAGAAAATTTTGAATGTTATTTTTTTCCCCTCGACTTGTGATTAATAGCGTGCGCAGTTTTCTATATAAATTTCCGTATTTACTGAAGCGAGAAATTTTTTTTTTTTCTCTTTCTTTTTTTTTTTTAAGCATCTCTTGACTTTACTTTTCGTTTTATACCCTCTAAAGCCGCGCCAAGCAAGCCTTATTGAGATTATGGGCGTAAGAGGGTGACGACCTACGATTTAGTGCCAGGGTGTGTTTCCAATTGGTCCAATCAGAATCCCCCCTCGTCCATGGGACTTGGATATATATAATAATATAACAGCATGTATATAGGTCTTACATATATACAAAGTGCATCAAAGCACGAAGTTATAAATCGTCAAAGTTTAGGGGCTGCATTTGCTATATATATGTATATGACTTAAAACTCGAGTTCATTTTTTTTTCATCTTCTAAACGATAAAATTTATTCATATGTATGTAAATCTTGAACTTATATATTTTCAATTCAAAAATTCATTATAAAGTTAAAGGCGAGAGGTTGTGGAGACCATTTTTTTGATTTTGTCTGATTTGAATAAATTTTTAAATGACAGAAATTAGAATTCACGGAATATTAATTTGTCCAAATTTTTATTTGTACGAATTTTTAATTAATAGAAATTTTAAGATGCCGAATTTTCATTTGTCCGAAATTACAAATGTCCGAACTAAAAATCGACCGAAAGATTTCGGCGCATTTTTTGAAAATTGACCAATTACGATTTTCTTGATAATTTTTAATTGATCAATTTTTCATAAATTGCGCCGAATTCTTTCTGTCGATTACTTGTTCGGCCATTTGTAATTTTGGATAAATGAAAATTCGGCGTCTCAAAAATTCTATCATTTAAAAATTACCACCGTGAAGTTGGCGTCAACGCTCAGCGTCGAAATTTATTTTTTCACGGTACCAAAATTATCAAATAATTTTCAAAAAGGTTTTGGGTTCACATAAAATCTTGAAAAGTATTTCTGGTATTTCTCAAGGCATTATTTGGATTGGAAATCTTTTTTTTAAAAAAAAAAATCAATTTGACATTTTTGGTGCAGTGAAATAGTATATTATGTGGCAAGCACGTAAAGTAGTACTTTTTAGGTGAGGATGTAATTTTCAGTACGAGCTGTCGTTAGTGCGACGTAGGTGAGACGAAGGCGAGCTGTAGGTGAGATGAAGACGAGCCGAAGGCGAGTCGAGTCGAGCCGAAAGCGAGCCGAGTCGAACCGAAGTCGCACAGACAGCGAGTATTGAAATCATCCGAACCTAAAAATTACTACGTGCGAGCCACATACGCTATTTTTTTCGCCATTGTTATGAAAAAGTGAAACAATTTTAAAGAAAAAAAATAATAAAAATTGATAAATAAAATAAAAGCAAAAAAAAAAATTATGCAAAAATTAACAACTGCCTAAAAAAGACTTTATAGGGCAGTTTACTGCCTAAAAAAGACTTTATACGGCAGTTTGCTGCCTAAAAAAGTCTTTTTTAGGCAGTTGGCCCAAACTGCCTTAAAAAGTGCTACTTTATCTGCCCAAAACAGGCACAAAAAAGACACTTTTTCATGTCAATGGCGAAAAAAATAATTTTGGCGCTGAGCGTCGACGCCAACAACTTATTCATAGAGGTTAAAAATTCGTACAAATTAAAATTCGGTGAATTACTTTTATTTAAAAATTTTAATCACATAAAATTCGATTCAATGAGAATTCTGTTCAAATTAAAATTCTCTTAAATAAAGTCATGTAAATTAAATGATTATAAAATAAAAATTCTAACAAACAAAAATTCTGTAGCTAAAAATTTTGTTGAGTAAAAATTCGTATAAAAAGAAGAAAATCTGTCAAATTTTAATTCGAAAATTGAAGATTGGTCTAAAAAATAATTATTTCCAAAAAACTACTTTAATATAAAAATTCTTATTCATATTTTTTATGGAAAATTCATTCGCCCCGTTCAGGCCCTTCTAGAAGAAAACAAAAATAGAAAATTTTGCAAAATTAAAATATGTCAAAATTTCATGATGCCGAAATTTGCAACGTTTTTATAAACGAAAACAAAAAAATAATGAAACTATATTTGTATTACTTTGGCTTAAAATTAAAGTTATTCGGGGACGCATGATTATGTTCTAAAAATCATTATTTTTGAGCCGAATTTTTATTTGTTTGAATTAGAATTTGGCAGAATTTTCATCAAACCGATTTTCTATATTAGAGAATTTTTATTATATAACCGAAAATTTACTTTACAGAATTTTTATTTGCTCGAATTTTCATTTTATTCTTTCAGATGAATTTTCATTTGTTCGAATTATTATTTGATATAATAATTTCCATATAACCGATTTTTCATACTACAGAATTTTTATACTTAACCGAAAAATCATTTAACAGAATTTATAATTGATAAAATTTTCATTCGTCCGAAATTAAAAACGGCCGAACAAACAATCGATTTTGGCGCAATTTTTAAAACCAACCAATCAAAAATTATTCATTAAAATTGTGATTAGTTGATTTTAAAAATCGCGCTAAAATCTGTGTTTGTTCGGTCATTTGCAATTTCGGACAAATGAAAATTCTTTGTAGTGAATTTTCGGTTATATAAAAATTCTGTAATATAGAAAATTGTTTTGATAAAAATTCTGCAAAATACTAATTCGAACAAATAAAAATTCAGCTCAAAAATATAATTATGACAAATGAAATTCCATAAAATGAATATTCTAACTAATGATTTTTAGAACATAATCATGCGTCTTGTTATAAATAAAAAAGTATAAAAGTATAACTATAAAAGTATTAATTTCTTGAAAATTTATGCAAATAAAAATTAGAAATAAAATTGACTAATTTAATTTTTTTCTTTTTTGAAAACGTTGCGGAATTCAGTCTCGTAAAATTATTGCTAAAGGCATAAAAATTATTGATTCAAAATCATGTTATAGAATTTGTACACTGAGAAAAATATGCTATTGAATTAATGCATTTCTGCCAAATGTATAAAAATTATTTATTTAAAA